CTACCGACCTTGAGGTTAGCAGCCCAATTTGTAACCACTATGCTATCAGAGTTCCTGAGGCATCACATTAAGGGTGAGTTTATTAAACATTTGACCAAATGTAAAAATTTTCAAGTTTTCATTGTGAATTGACTGATAGTTTACATGGGAGAACATCAGTTTGTTTCATTGTAATGATTACAATCCCTGCACATTTCATCATTCAATAGTATTTGTTTCTATTCCTTCTGTGTTATTTGTTTGTTTTTTGGATGGGAATCAAAACACTCAGGAATATGCAATTATTCAAACAGCCAAAGGGCACAACCTGGCCCCTGGCCACCAGCACCCATCCCCTCTCCCTCCTTGAGTCTAGAATCCTTAGCTGCCCCATCTCTCCATGCCATCATCTCTAGTAGGCTATTTTTAAATTAATAATTTTGCATGGCCCACAAAAGGGTGTTAAAATTTTTGGCAGAAAAAAGGGCCCCCAGTATTCACTAGACAGAACTCTGGTTTTCTGTGCATGGGCCTCATTACTCTATTTGTCGGATTGTTCAATCCTGACTTTGCTACCTGACTTTGTTCTTAAGTCCCCACTTCATAACTTGTTGAAAATTCCATGAAATAGTTAATCGCTATACCCCACATATACACCCCCACTCCCTGTCGTAATTTCAATGAGGGCTGGTTGTTTGATGGTAGAGTTCTGGGCTGATAACAGAAAGGTAGGCGATTTGAACCCGCCAGCCACCCTATAGGAAAAATATGTGGCTGTCTGTATCCATGAAGAAGACAGCCTTGGAAACTCTCTGGATACAGCTCAACTCTGTCCCATGGGGTGGAAATCATCTCAACACTAATGGGCTGAGTCTTTGAATTTACCATGGTTAACATTACTTCTCTCCTTAGAAGCAAGACTTTACGTTAAGACTTTACTTCGGACGTGTCATCAGGAAGAACCAGTCCCTGGAGAAGGACATCATGCTTGGTAAAGTAGAACATCTGAGAAAAAGTGGAAGACTCCCCAAAGAGATGGACTATCACATTCGCTGTCACATGGAGCTCAAACATGACAATAGTGAGGTTGGCATAGAACCAGGCAGTGTTTCATTCTCTTGTGCACAGCGTCGCTGTGAGTCGGAACTGACTCGATCCAACAACCATAGTGATTTCTCTCAGCACCCACACCATGACAGAGCAATCTTGCAATTAATTCCCTTCAGAATTGTATCTATTCTAGAGTTTTTATTAGCTGTCATTGAATTGACTCAGACTCATGGAGACTCAGTGTACCAAAGACCATGGCCTTAAATTATCTTTATGACCACAGATCTGCTTGAGGCCTGTTGAAGCCATTGAGGGTTTTGATGGGCTTGCAACCTGGGGTCGGTGGCGGGAGCTCATCTTCCCACACTCTGTGGGGCAAAATTGTGTTGTAATCCATGGGACTGGTTTGCCATGGGGCCATTTTGTTAACAGTTGTTGTTGTAAGTGCTGTCGAGTCGTTTCTGACCCATAGTGACCCTGTATAGGGCTTCTGAGGAGCAGCTGGTGAGCTTGAACCGCCGACCTTGCAGTTCAAACAGCTTTGCAGTCTGGAGCATTAACCCACAGTGCCACACAATAGATCACTTGATTTCTCTTCCTAATCTGTCATCACGGTCAACTCTACTTTGAGGAGGAAGCTCTCCCAACCTGAGGGTCTCATCTTCTGGCACTATCTCTGACAATATTCTGGTACTATCCATCATATTTCAATATTCAATAGTACGGTGTTAACTGACAGTGTTCCACGGCTGTTACTAAGGTTTTCAGTGGCTAAACATTCAGAATTGTCAGCCTCTCCTTCCTCCTAACCTGTCTTATTCTGGAAGTTCAGCTGAAACCTGTCCACCATGGGTGACCCTACTGGTATTTAAAATGCTGGTGGCATAGCTTCCAGAATCACAGCAATGTACAAGCCACCACAGTATGACAAACTGACAGACAGGTGGTGGAATTATTCTATGAGAGGTTTCTGATTTTGTTATGCTTGTGAAAAGTACAAACAGTTTCAACAGAAGACAATTTTCAACTAAGGCCCTTCATGAGTATTGTGCACATTCAGTTTATTGAAATGTACTGATATTTACTTACAGCACACAGAATATGAACAGGGAAATAGAAGACAGAAATTGAGAGAGGTCATTGTATTCCAGGCAGAGTGGAGGGAGATTTGAAACAAACTGAAATTCCGTTCATGTTGACGATTCTTGAGTAGAACTCCGTCATCATAAAATTTCCTTAGGCATGAAATAAAACAAGAAGAAGAAAAGATGATGAATGCTGTTAGCCTGACACAGTGCCAGCAAAACAGAAGTGGAGATAAAAAAAGAAATACTTAAAGGGGTGAAAAGACATTAATGAAAAGGTAGCAGGTGAAACTCACAAGACTTCATTCTAATTTGATTCAGGATGAGAGGTGGGGTGGTTTCCAGCTGAATTTGGTTTTTGTTTTGTTTTGTTTTCTCTCTGGATGTACCTATTGTAGGAACTGGTACGGTACCATGTCAGAATTATTTTGCATTTATTAGGAGTTATGTTTATGGCCACAAGATACTTACATTACACTTAATGTGTCTGTGTGTCATCACAATCCTCTTTTAAATGTTATCTAGAATTATTTAAAACAATGAAATAATCCTGGCATGGGGCTGTAAGGATAAGCACTGGACTGCTCACGGCTGGTTCAAGCCCACCAGCCATTCCTCAATGAGGTTGCTATGAGTCAGAACTGATTTGACAGCACTTAACAAGAACAACAATGAAACAACTATGGGTTTACAATGTGTTTAGTGTATTTATAGCTTATATGAAACACTATGGAGTATGCGTACAGGAGAAGACTAGGTAATCTGCTCCCACAAAGATGCAGAACCTTGAAATCCTTGTACAGGGTCACTAGGTGTCAGAACTGATTTGATTGGCACTTAACAACAACACCATACAGTATGCATGATGGCCAGACTGTCTCATCGCTCAGATTTCAGCTAACAGGAGGGACTGGTCCCTGGAGAAGGACACCATGCTTGGTAAAGTGATTTTGTTCTTGTGGTTGCTGTTCAGTGCCACCCAGTTGGTTCTGACTCATAGTGACCCTGTTTCTGAGATGTGGAAAGTGGCTTTGAACCACAGACCTTGTTGTTAGTAGCTCAGTGCTTATCCTACAGTGCCACAACAGGATAAAGTACAGGGTCAAAGATAAAGAAGAAGACCCCCAATGAGATTAATTGGCACAGTGGTTGCAGAAATGGGCTCAAACATAACAATTATGAGGACAAAAGCGTTTTGTTCTGTTGTGTATAGTATGGAGTCCTGGTGTGGTGCTGTAGGTTAATGCGCCAGACTGCCAAGCCATTTGAACTGCAAGTTTGGTGGTTCAAGTTCACCAGCTGCTCCTCAGAAACTCTATACAGGGTCACTATCGGTTGGAACCAACTCTTCGACACTTCACAACAACAATACCGCTAAATAGTATATATACTACATTACATGGCTACATGGTATATATACTACACTACATGGCTACATGGTATATATACTACACTACATGGCTATATAGTATATGTACTACACTACATGACTACATGGTATATATACTACACTACATGGCTATATAGTATATGTACTACACTGCACCACTACATAGTGTACATACTATACAACACTACTACATAGTGTATATACTATACTATCCTGCTACATAGTACATGTACTATACTGCACTGCTAAATAGTATATATTCTATACTATACTGCTACATAATATTTGAGTTTGAACCACAAGGTCGGTGGTTCAGACTCACCGTGGAAACCCTATGAAGGGTCACCATGACTTGGGTCCTACTAAATGACACTTAACAATAGCAACAAATACTGTGATTATATTACTGTTGTTGTTATGTGCCTTGGAGTCAGTTCCGACTCAAAGCAACCCTGTACAGAGTTTCTGAGGCTGTAAATCCTTATAGGAGCAGAAAGCCTCATCTTTCTCCTGCCGAACAGCTGGTAGTTTCAAACTGCTGGCTGTGAGATTAGCAGCCCAATTCATAACTACTACGCTACCAGAGCTCCTTGTGATTCTCTTAGGCATTATGTTTATATTATATTTGCACTGGGATTCACCAGTCTCATCTTATTCCAGAAATTCAGGGTTCTAAATTGCTTACCCCACTGGGCACATAGCAAACATGGTATTGTTCATCCATAGGATGTCTTTCTTCATGGAAATTTGAATGTGACATTTTTGAGGAAACTGTAACTTTTTTTTTTTTTAAATCTTACAAGTTACAGTTTTCTTTTCAACCCAACTCCCTCTTCAAAGAACAGATGATCTGGATTTTCTTAACCTCTTTAGAGATATCATGTTGTTTACTCACCTTAATAGTAATTATCGGGGCAGGTATCTAGCAAACAAAAACAGAACAGAAAAATGGATCATCATAGTGTCTCAGCATATTGGAGAATTTTATTTTTTTTTAAAGAAACAACAAAGCAATTATGCATATAGATTAAGTCACCACCAAGACCAGGGTCTTTGAATCATGAATCAATTTGCTACGTACTGTATTTTCAAGCTATCCAAATGACACAATAGTTAGCTAAATTCCTATGTCCATAAACTTTAGATGATATCTTCCTGGCCACTATAGAATCACTTTACCTGTTTCAATGACTTTGATAATACTATCTTCTGGGATCTCCTTTGCTTTCGTCAAAGACAGGAATATCTGATATTCTGCGTCGCTGATGTCATCATTTTGGGCTGCAAATCATTGAGGGGAAGGTAAAAAGTGGTATCCATTAAGACCCATATGAAATTCTGGATGCAGGGGGTGAGAGAACTGAATGTGGAGAATGGTTCTCTGTGTGTGATCATTAGCTAGAATGCAGAGGGCAGCCACCTGCCGATGCCAGTGACAGACAAGGATGACTGAAGACATATAAGGCAATTGAACCTGTGATTATGAGCTTCCCCAGAAAGACAGACAACAGGCTGCATAGCCAAGTCAGAGCATCGGGAGGATGGTGTCTGGACATTTAGAATGGCACAATTGTGGCTTCTTCTTCCACCACCATGCCCCCATAATTTTGATCTTGTTTGCTAGTCTACCGAACCCAGTGATAACTGATGAATCCAACAAGAACATGAGCTGTTGATCAAAGACCGGTTCTACGATTGATGTTTCCTACGATCAATGTTGCCAACCCAAATGTGTATGAATGCTTGAATGGAAAACCAATTTGCTCTGCGAACTTTCACTTAAATCACAAGCGTAAGTTTAAAAAAAAGTTTTTAAAGTCTCGTCTCCCATTGTTATGAAGGCTCTTTTCTCTCTAACCCGCTTCTAAGCTGACAGATTGAAAAAAAACATGGCGACTCAGACCCTTGGGTGTCCCCATCTTGCACCAAACCTAATTCAGTCTAAATCCTAAGCATGCATACTGCTAATATGTTGATATGTCTGATAGCATAGTCATGGGTTACTCTCTACTGGGGGGCGTGAGTGAGTTGTCGAACATACTTATAGCACCAATGACTTTGGAGGTCTTGCCATTGTTCGTGTTGATGCCATACATCACCATGAAACGGTCTGAGTAATAAAGGATAGTGAAGTCAACCATGCCTGCATCTGTGAAGGAAAGGAAATAGAATTTGTATCATCATCTTCAGAGGAAACGTACTCCATGTGTTCGTTGTTGTTGCTACTGTTGGCTGACATTGTGTCGAACTGCGACTGATGAGAGTCCCAGGCAAGATAGAAGGGCCCACTGGTCCCACCAGAATCGTTTCAATGACTGTGAGCCATACCAGCTGCCATTGGATGGTTTCAGGGTATAGATCAATGAGCTTTTCTTCCTAGTCTGTCCTGCTGAAACCTGTGTAGATTAACACCATGCAAGTGATCCCTGACACACAGATGAACTAGTGACAATACCAAAGGTACATTGGCCAGGAATCAATCAAAAGTATTTTCATATGTCATGATATAAACTGGTGTCCTTAGTCCAACAAATTGTCCCTGTAACTACGCGTGTTCTCGTTCACTCTTCCCTTCTCGTCTTCTCCCTTTCTTCCTGTCTCTCTCTCTCCTTGTCCTCTGTCTTTTCCTCCCTTCACCCACTCCCAATCCAGAAACTATTATCATCCATGAAGAGAAACAGGGCACAGGACTGACTTTTCTTTACTGCTACTCTCTTACCTTGTAGACCATGTGAAATCGGTCTTAACGGCATTGTTCTCAGAATTCCTCTGTTTACATGGTTTTTTTTATTGCTTTCTAAGTTGCATCATTTGTTTTTGCTGTTGTCAGTGAGAATGTGGACACCAGAATACACACTCATTCTACAGTCTCTCCATGTACACTTTAGTGACGTTGATAACATTCTTCAAGAACCCTTCTCACCCTCCTTTCCGGAACCTCTCCTCCACAAGAAACAAAATCTCACTGCCTCCCAAGTTTCCTACCGAACCTGTTAGCAGCTTCTTCCTGTAGAGCTAGATCTGAAAGGAACACAATGCTCAAGGCAGGCATTTGTTACAGTTCAGCTAAACTATTGTTTGGTGTTGAGGAGATTTTTCAGGGGATAATTCTGAGTTCTGGATTAAAGATAATCTTAGAGCAATAGTTTCACGTGTCCATTTTACCCCCATGCCTCCAGAAAGTCTGTAGTCTGTGAGACTTTAAAATTCTTTATTTCCCCTTTTTTGATTAAGATTGTTCTCTAGAGGCTTTGATCAAAATATTCGGCCCTTCTGGTCCCTCGGTAAAGGAGGCACTTTGTCTTAGATGCAATTAGTCACACCTTCCCCCTGCTATTCCTGACTTCCCGTCTTCTTCTGTTGCTCCTGGTGAACAGAGATCAATCATTGTACCTTGGAGGGCCCCTTGAAAGCTTTTAAGACCCCAGGCATTAAAAAATGAAATAGGAGACCGAACAGAAGTACAAACATGTTATTAGACCAATGAACTGGGATGTCCCATGAAACCATGGCCCTAAACCTCCAAACCAATGAGGCACATTCTATGAGGTTGTACATAAGCTACCTCAGAAGCTACCCCTAATATATAGATATAGATATACATATACAAATATACATATAGATATACATATACATATATACACACATGCACATACATATATACACACACACATATATATACATACATACACACATATATATACACACATGCACATACATACACACACATATATAATATATGTGTTGTCATTGTAAATATATCTATAACACAGCTTTTTCAAATTCAACTTTAAACATCTGTACAATTTACTGACAATGATTAGTATCACCAGCTGTGAAGCCCAGCCATGAATCAACGTGATTTTCTGTCTCCATTTAATGTCCCTTTCCCTGGTAAACACTGGTGTTTTTACATTTGCCTTTTCCTGTCTTTTTTATCTAGGTGAGATTATACAATATTTGTCCTTTGGGGATTAGTTGATTTTATTCATGGGCTAATGCAAAGGAGTTTGAACTGCAAGCTTGGTGTTTCCGGCTCACCAGCTGCTCCTTGGAAACCCTGTACAGGGTCACTATGGGTCAGAATGACTTGACGGCACTTCACTACAACAACAATGACCTCTAGCTTCACCAAAGGCTCCTACATGTAACAGTATTCTTGTGCTTTTACAACAGACTATGTAACAAGCTCTTCAATATTTCCTATCTTGTTTTTATATATATTATAAAAGTAACAGTCTTACAGACACTCGGGGGTCATTTAAGGTGCTGGCAAATGAACTATTTCAGTTCAGAATTTTCTTTTCTATGAGGTTTTTCTGAATAACTGAAACTCCTTACATACGTAATCTGTGAGCTAGCTTCTCATGTGTCTATCATTTACTTCATTCACAACAAAACAAAAAGCAGATTGCCTGGTGCTTAGAATCTAGATACCGTATAACCCACTGCCATCCAGTCAAATCTAACTCATAGTGACCTTGCCTCGTGTTTCTGAGGCTGTAACAATTTCCAGAGACAGAAAACCTCACCTTTCTTCCACTGAGCAGTTGGTAGGTTAGCAGTCCAGTGCTGATTCTACAGAGCCACCACGGCTCCTTTCAGATACAGTCTGTTGTTGTTAAACACCATCAAGTAGTTCTGACTCATAGTGGCCCTGTAAAGGGTTCCTGAGGAGCAGTTGGTGGGTATGAACCACCAACATTGTGGTTCAAACCAACCGTACAGTTAAGTGTTGATGCTACAGCACCACACCAGGACTGTGCTCTTATTGGAAACCAGATGACTGTGAGTCAGAATTGACTTCACAGCACAGAAAGCAACAACAATAGATAAGAAACCCTGGTGGCACTGAGAGATAAGCACTGAGATGCATATCACGACCCCACAGTTCGAGCCCACCAGCTGCTCCTCAGATCAAAGTTGAGGCTTCCTGTTCCTTTCAAGATGGACAACATCAGAAACCCTATAGAGAGAGGGTCGCTGTGAGTCAGAATTAGCTCCATGGCAATGGGCTTGCATTTTGGTTTGGCTGTAATAAATAAAAATACAACTTGAACTTTTTATTTTCCAAACAAACAAATCCACTGCCCTAGAGTTAATTCTGACTCACAGTGACCTTATGTAGGGCTTCAGAGGTTACACATCTTTACAGGAGCAGAAAACCTCCTCTTTCTCCCTCAGAGCAGCTGGTGGCTTTGAATCGCTAACCTTATGGTTAGTCATCCATGTTTTTCCAATCATACCACACTATCTCCCTGATAGTATGTTTTGTTGTTGTTTTGAAGTGCTCTCAAATTGGTTCCAACTCATAGCAAACCTGCATAGGGTTTCTGAGGCTGTAAGTCTTTGCAGGAGTAGAAACCCTCATCTCTCTCTCTTAAAAATAATGAAGGAAAAATAACGAGAGAAAGTTGGAAGGTGATTAGGCATTCAGCAGATCACAGTGCTGATTGGAATTAGAAACTGGATAAGAATCGTGCCCAGTGGATCCTGGTTTGTGTGACACTCTAAGGTCCCAAACATGCACTAGTTACAAAGTTCGAGGACTCACAGTTTGTTGTGTAAAAGTTTTCGCTTGTCTTCAGTCCCAGTTGATGTTGGAGAATGCATTGGTCATTTTCTCTGGAAAAGAAAGCAATGACAGCTTAATCGTCCAGTGTTCCATGAAATATGCAAACCCATTACCTTTGGCGAGTCAATTTTGATTCATAAAGACCCCATGAGACTTTAAGAAAAAAAAGAAGAAAAAGAAGAAGAAAAGAAAAAATAACTGTCCCCTTGGGTTTTCCAGGCTGTTATCTGCATGGGAAAGCTAGACTATGAATAATGAAGACTAAAGATGAATGGATGTCTTTGAACTATGACATTGGCGAACAGAATGAATATATCACAGACCTCCCAAAGAATGGAGTCCTGGTGTAGCACTGTAGGATAAAGCATAGGACCCCAAGGTCAGCTTGAATTCAAAATCAGTGGTTCGAGCACACCAGCCACTCTTAGAAACCCTATACAGGGTTGCTATGAGTCAGAACTGACTCGATGGCACTCTGCAACAACAACCCAAAGAAATAAATTAAAAAAAAAAAAAAATTCTGTCTTGGACCACACATAACCAGAACGTTCCTTAGAAGTGAAGATGGTGAGAATTTGTCTCACAGCCTTTGAACAGTGGGTACTTGTTCCTGGAGATGGACATCCTTCATGGTAAAATGAAGGGCCAGTGAAAAAGAGGAAGACCACCGAAGGGATGGACTGACAGAGTTGCAGCAGCAGCAATGAGTTCAAACGTAACAACGGTGAAAATGAGGCAGGACCAGGCAGGGTTTTCCTCTGTTGGACAAACACTATTTGCTAGGTGTTGGAACAGACTCAATGGCACCTGAGAGCAACAGTCCATCTTTACAGGAACAGATTGACTGGTCTTTTTCCTGGGAAGCCACTGGGTGGGTCGTAGCTACTAGCTATCAAGTTTGCATTGAAAACTTAGCCAGTGAACCACCAAGGCTGTTACTTAAACACCGAGTAAATCTCATACCCAATCCTGTATCACCATAACAATGCACTGTGCTTCCATCAATTGGACCCAAGGTGACCCTATAGGACAAGGTAGGGCTGTCCCTTAGCTTTCTGAGACTACACATCTTTATGACACTAGACTGCCTCATTTTCCTGCTTGAAGCAGTTGGTGGGTTAGAACCACCTTCTGGCTAGTAGTCCTATGATTACCCTTTGCAACCCCAGGGCTCCAGTATGGCTGAATTGATGAGTAGAAATTACCAAGATGGTTTCCCTCCTTGGTGTCGTCTCACCCAGTCATGAATTTCCAGCATTTACTCACTTGCTGTAAAAGTCAACCCGTATTGCTAATCCTAAACTCATGCACTGCATGTAACGGAAGTAAACTCTCATGGGATGGTTTTCTTCTATTGCCTCCTTATTATCAGATGCTGTGTAGGTGGTACGCCATGGTCCGGTAACCTAAAAAAGGACAGGCAAGACATGGTTTGCAAACAGATACAGACACATCTTCAGTTGGCGAGCATCCTACCAGGTTGCCCTCTGCCCCAGGTGAGTCCATCCCGGTACCTGTGTACAAGGATCCTGCAAGAGGGAGTCCTGAGCAGCACAAATGATTCCAAGTACTAGAGTGACTAGCAGGGTCTTCATCATGTTCATGCTTCTCAGTCCTTCTTACGAGAGAGATGAAATTGCGTCTCTTATTGTGAGATGGTATGCACCCCACCTTTTATACTATCCATTTGTGGATGGGGCAGTTTGTGAAGGGCTGCCTTTGAACAATGAGTACATAGTGTACGTGAAATTATCTTAAAAATCAACAAGAAGCATCCTGGTTGGAAGCAATGGCCTTTGGATGTTCTCTTGTCATTCCCTTAATACAATTATTTCGCTTGGACTCAATCTTTGACCTTTAAGGAGAACAACAGATTAGATTTCTTTAGATTCATTTCGGAGACAGTAACATTTGTTTGATCACATTGTTTCTTCAAGTAATGGCAAGTACAATGTAAGACAACCATCACCTACTATAAATTGTTGGAATGTGTCCCCCGTCCCTCAAAAATGTGTATTGTGAGTCCCAAAATCAAAATCATGGCAGCCATGGTCAAGAAATCAAGTGATGTCTGACATTAAGCAAATTTTCTGCAAAAGAACTCATTAAAGTGTTCAAGGGCAAAGATGTCAATTTTTACTGACATGAGACCCAAGCCATTGTATTTTCAATAACCTCATATGCATGTGAAGGTTGGAGAATGAATAAGGAAGACTGTAGAAGAATCAATGCATTTGAATTATGGTGTTGGAAAAGATTATCAAAATTACCATGGACTGCCAGAAGAACAAAGAAATCTGTGTTGCAAGAAGTCCAAACAGCATGCTCCTTAGACTCCAAAATGGCTAGACTTTGGCTCTCATACTTCGGACATATAATCAAGAGAGACGAATCCCTGGAGAAGAACATCATGCTTGGTACAATGGAAGGTCAGTGAAAAAGAGGAAGACCCCCCAACAAGATGGACTTGCATAGTGGCAGCAGCAGTGGGCTCAAGCTTAACAACAATTTTGAGGATGCGGTAGGACCAAGCAGAGTTTCGTTCTGTTGTGCATAGGGTCGCTATGAGTTAGAACTGACTCGATGGCACCTAACAATGATAAAATTAAAAAGCAAAACAAAAAACTGTCGAGTTGATTCTGAGTCACAGTGACCCTGTTGGGCAGAGTAGAATTGCCACATGGGATTCCCAGGATTGTCATCTTTATAGGCACAGAATGTGTGATTCGTTGTCTAGTTCTTATCCTACGGAGTCACTCTGCTCCCATCCTAGGCATTAGTGAGCTGAAATGGGTACTGCTATTGACCATTTTGAATGAAAAAAATCACATGGTCTACTATGCCAGCAATGACAAATCGAAGAGGAATGGTGTCACATTTATCATCAAACAGAGCATTTTGAAATCTATCCTGAAATTCATCATTGTCAGTGATAAAGATAATATCCATATACCTACTAGGAAGATCAGTTGTTATGACTATTACACAAATTTATGCACAAACCACTAATGCTAAATATTAAGAAAATGAGGACTTTTACTAACTTCTGTAGTTTGAAAAGGATCAAACTTTTAATCAAGATACATGCGTAATCCTTGGTGATTGGGGTGTGAAAGTTGGAAACCAAAAGGAAGGCTTGATGGTTAGGAACTATGGCCTTGGTGATAGAAATGAAGATGGAAATCACATGGTATAATTTTGTAAGTGCAATGCCTTATTCATGCAACTATCTTTGTTTTAACAAAATGAATTGTGATTGTACATGTGGCCCTCAAAGGTTGGAGTACAGGTATCAGTGATGGATGGAATACACAGGAATCAAATTTCTTACACCTGTGGAAAAAGACAAAAGAGAAGCCCAATAGAACAAATTTGGGTGCCTACTATGGAACAGACCATCAATTGCTCAGATGCAACTTCAAGATGAAGCTGAAGAAAATTAAAGCAAGCCCATCACAGACAAAATACAACCTGGAGTGTAACCCACCTGAATTTAGTGACCATCGAAAGCATAGATTTGACACATGGACCATGAATGACCTAATACCAGATGATATCTGGGATGACATAAAAACCATCATACATAAAGAAACTAAAATGCCATAAAAAAACTGGAAAGACCAAAATGGACATCAGAACAGACCCTGAAACATGGTCTTGAATGTCGAATAACACAATTGAAAAGAAGAAAAAAATGGTGAAGTAAATGAACTTAACAGAAGGGAAATATCATAGGAGACCACTATTATAAAACATCAAGGAAAGGTTTAGATGCAGAAAGAAACATACTTTGATGGCTACTAAGAGTGGGAGGGGAAGAGAGGACAAATCACTAATTAGAAGGTGTTGTTTTTCAGTGCCATCGAGTCATTTCCAACTCATAACGACCCAATATAGGGTTTCCAAGAATCAGCTGGTGAGTTTGAACCACCGACCTTGTGGTTCAAACTGACCTTGCGGGTCCTGCACTTATCCTAGAGCGCCACACCAGGACTCCTAAAAACTAGAAGGTGGATACATATTAACTTTGGGGAAGGAAAGCTGATTTACAGTTAGGGGGAGGGACAACCAGAATTGATCAAGACAAAGCAGGAAACTGAGAGGAATACAAGAATTAATGACAGCAAAAGTCAACGCTATTACATACACAGTCCTGCAATAAAGGAAGTAGCAATGACCAAAGAGTGGGTACAAAATGGACATGTTAGCTAAACAGGTGCAGGGGCAGTAAAGGGGAACTACACCCAAAAATATTAACATGCTTGACAGAGGATATTTCTACATATGGATTTGTTGTTGTTGTTGTTGTTAAGGGCCATCGAGTCAGTACCCACTTAAAGCGACCCAATCACAACAGAACGAAACACTTCCCAGTCTTGGGCCAATCTCATAATCGTTGCTCCATTTGAGCCCATTCATGCTGCCAATAAACAACATCTATATGCTTGAAGAAAAGATTGAAGTTCTCAAAGACTGCATTTTGCTGAGATCAACCATCAACACTTAATGAAGCAGCAGACAAGGAATCAAACAATGCATTGCATTAGGCAAATCTGCTGCACAAGACCTCTTTAAAGTGTTGAAAAACAATGATGTCAGTTTGAGGACTAACGTTCTCCTGACCCAAGTCATGCATGGTATTTTCAATAACCTTACATACATGTGAAAGTTGGACAGTGAATAAGGTACCATGGACTGCCAGAAGAAC